GCGAGACGTGGGACGCGCTCGCGGACACCGCCAGCGCTGATTCCGCATTTCATCATCTGCCCAGTCAAGGTATTCAGCTTTGAGGGAAAGCCAGCAAAATCTGATTTATTTTTCGTTTTTTAAACTGAGAAAGCTAGAGGTCAAAGTTTATCCTTTCAGTTCTCGAGAGGATTAACAGCAGGTTTTAAGAAACAATTTTTTTAAAAAAAAAAATCAAGTTAAAATTCCATATAAGGCACCTCCGTTGCAGCTTTTTTTTTTAAAAAAAGCAAGGCGAGCTCACGCGGAGCAAGCCCAGCTGAGCAGAGCGCGGATTTCTGCTGCAGAGCCAAGAGCTCCCAGGATGGGTGGCTCTTCCCCAGCTCACCCAGAAATTCCCGCGTGAGGAAGATGAGCTGCAGGGCTCACCCACTCACACGGGACCACGCGCTCAGCTTCAGGTGGAAAGGCTGTCAGGCTCGGCCCTGGGGTTGCTGAGGAACTCCCCTTCCTTAAAGAACTAATTCTATTCTTAATTCTATTTCCCGCTTTTCCCAGTGCTTCTGCTGCCGGAGAAGTGGCCGAAGCCAAGCCCGCGGCAGGGCGAGCGGGTTCAGAACAGCCTCCCGGCGCGATTCCCCCAGCTGGACAGGTCTCATGATAACAACGCGGCAGTAAATCTTGAGAACCCTGGCCCCGGCTTTGCCCCCCGGTTCCTCTGGGATCACCCAGCCCAGCCCAAGCCTGAGTCACCCTCAGTTTCCTCAAGTTCTCCCAGCTTGGAAACACCAACTGCCCCGGAACTAAAGCAGCAGCTAAATTCAGATCACTACGAGAGGAAGCAATCTAGGCTCGGCAAACGAGGTGAGCCCCGCACCGACGTACAACAAAAGAACAAATTTCCCCTTCGACTGCCTGCGGAGGCTTCCCACAGCAGAACGCGGGGCTTCAGCGAGGTGGGACCCTCCCTCCGCAACCAACTATTTCCCGTTTTACTTCTCGGCGACGCATTACGCTGCTGGGACACTGAGTCAAAAGCTGCAGCTGAGAAAAATCATTAACGTGTCCCCCCCCAACCCCGTCACCACCAGCAGCACCAGGTCTGAGCACAACCCAGAGGATTCGAGCGCAGTGGTATTAGCTTCGTTTGACTGTATTTAAATAAAATAAAGCACTTAAAAGAACAGGCACAACAACACCCTCGCTGCTGACCCCACGCCCCCGCCGCCTTCGTGGCGCACAGATGCCTCTCCCCACCCCTCCCTGGGCAGATTTTTCGGGCAGTTTGGAGAACGCGAAAAGCCGTTTTCCCGCCGCGGCTTTAA